TAATAAAATTATCTGAATTATTAATTGAAATAAAATTTTAAAATTATTAAAAACTATTAATTAACTTGATAATTTATTAATAAAATAACCTATCTGTTCTGAAATTAAAAACCTTAAGGGACATAATGTAATTTTTAGAACTACAAGGGATAATTTGTAATTTAAGTAAACATTAGGGGGTGTTTGTAATTTACCTTTTATTTTTTTTATCATTTTTTATAAGGTAATTTTAGGGATACAAAATTTTTTATCAAATAAATGATCAAATATTTCACATGGGTATGGGTTCGCAATTTTGTAGAGCACATACTCATATGAGACATTTGATACAAATTTTGATAGAATTTTTGAAATCTCTAATATTTTTATTTTTTATACTGTACATGAATGCTGTTCATACATTAAAAGCCGTATAGCATAAACAAATAAAAAAACAGAGAAAATAATTTAGTGTATTTGGTTTCAATTTTTTGGAAATTGAGTTTTTTTTTTTTTTTGATAATTTTTTTTTAGTAAATATTTTTAAAATTTTAAGCAATTTTTTTACTTTTTTAAATGCACCTTATTTAGATGTATCTAAAAATTAATTTTTGTTGTAAAAATTTAATAAATACACAATAATTTGAAAAATATACTGAATTCACGTATTTTTTTTATATATATTTTTGGTATTTAATAATTTTTTTGAAGATTATTTTCACAAATATTATACTTTTTAAATATATTTATATTAGGTGTATCTATTTTTTTTTATAAAAAAAATTTCTTAAAATATTTTAAAAAATAAATTAAAAAAAGGGTAAATTACAAATACACCTCTGAGATTTGATTAAAATATAAATTCCCCTGTAGTTTTGAAAATTGCATTTCACCCCTGAGGTTTCTAATTTCATAACAAATCACTAATTTTATTAATAAATTATCAAGTCAATTAACTATGTTTGATGATGTTAAAAATATGTTTCAGTTAATAATTTAGGTAATTTTATTATTGTATAGGAGAGCAATTATGAATTTCATTTTTTTAGTTAATTCTGTTAAATAAAAAATTCTAATAAGGGGATATTTGTAATTTTTTAAACCACAAGGAATAATTTATATTTTAAGCAAACCTTAGAGAGTGTATTTGTAATTCACCCAAAAAAATAGAAAAAATAAAAAATAAAAAATTCTAAAGTGAACCTTGAAAATTCAAACTAAATAAACTGATTGATTTTTTTGTTGTGATTTTTTGGTTAAAAGAGCTTAATGTCAAAATAGGCTTTGAGTATCTTGATATGGATTGGAGAATGATGTATCGATCTATGGGGTTTATCGTGACTTCGTTTGTTATGATTCAAATTGTTCGTTTGTAAAAAAATTCATATAAGTCACTAATTTATTTCTTTTAAATTGATTTAATAATTGTAATATTTTTAATTTATTGTAATTGTTACAAAGAAATGTATGATTTATTTTTAAAAAAATACATTTGCCGTCTATTTGTTTTTTAAAACAAATGAGATAAATTGGTGACCAATTGTTTTGAAAATTTGGTTAAAATATAGTTTTTTGATTTTTTTTTAAATGTATAAAAAAATAGATAAATGATATGACTCAAAAGAGGTTAAAAGCCAAAAAAAAACTAACTTTTAACCTCTTGCCAAAAGAGGCCAAATGGCTCGTTTGAGAACTTGGCTATCTTAGTTACTTTTTAATTTTTTTATTATTTTAGACTAATTAAAAAAATTGTGTTTTAAATGATAATTGACTTTTTTTTATTTAATTTGATGGTTATAAGAAAAAAATAAAATAATTATGACTTAAATGTGATATTTTATCTTATTAACTATTTTAATCTATTTTACTTTTATTGACTATTTTAACTAAAAAAATCAGTAACATAACTTCTCAAACACCCCAAAAAAGGCATACTTTAGAACAATAGATGAATTTTATAATTATTCTGTCAATTATTTAAAATGGTCTAATTCAACTAAAATTAAAAAACTTAAATAAAATAAAAAATGACACGATATATATATACATATATATATAAAAATGTATTTGATGTAAAACTATATTTGGATACCATTTGGAAAAATTACCAATCACATTAATTTGAAAAAATTATTACATATGCATAAAAAAATATAATTATAATTATAATTATAGTTATTAATATTAATAAAAATTTATCAATATGTTATAATTAGTTTTTAAATTCTTTTACAGATTTTAAAATTTTCCTTTTTTTATTATTGTTTCTTTTATTTTTATAAAAAGTTTTCCAACAAACACAAAGGCGTGATGTCTAGCAAAGTCCAAAACTGCTCACATCAAGTGCTGAACGAGTTCTCTGACACTGTTTGGGCCTTCTGGTTGTACGTTGATTAGAGGCACGCCGTCCTACTAAGGCTCCGTTTGGCCAGAGTTAAACAGATTTTTTTTTGACTATTTTAGTTACAAAAGATAAAATAAATTATTTTAACCACAAAAAATAAAATATCACATTCAATCCATAATCTTTAATTCTTCTCTCACAAAAAAAGCCAAAAAGCCCTTCCTAAACCAAACTTTTTAGCCCAGGCTAAAATAGCTAAAAAAGTCAAAAAATCAAAAAGCCAACCCACTTCCCAAACGGAGGCTAACAAATTATATTTTCAACAATAATAAGGGCTCGTTTTGAAATAGGGATGGCAATTTGAAATCGGACCGACGGTGACCCGACCCCCTGACCCCGAATTCAGCAGTTATTCACCGAAAAATATCCCCTACGGGTCGGGGACGGTATTTAAAAATTCATCCCCGATGATATCCGGGCCGGGGACGGGGATATGTGTTTCAGAACCGGCCCCGGCCCCGCCCCGCATGGTCCCCGAGCTGAAATTACCCTTTTGTCCCTCGATATATATATGTGCATATGTTGTCTTGGTTAGGGTTTCATCACAGACACACACTCAAAGCCTCTCATCATCTCACACAGTACTCACTCACGCCGCTCCTTTCTCTCTCTCTCTCACCACTACTGGTCTGTTCATCTCTCTTCCCTCCGTCACTACCGCGGCTCCCTCCGTCACCGGCGATCCTCCATCCGTCACTCAAAGCCTCTCACACTCACTCACGCCGCTCCTTGATGTTGTTTTGTACTCAAAACGACGTCGTTTTGGCCATTTGAGCCACATTTGAGCCACAGAATTTGGGCCCTCTACCATTGCTCTTTTTTTAATTATTTTAATTACAAAAGACAAAATAGACTATTTTAATCATAAAAAATAAAATATCACATCCAATCCACAATCATTACATTCTTCTTTCATAAAAAAAGTCTAAAAAGTCAAAAGTCCTTCCCAAACCAAACTTTTTAGCCCAGGTTAAAATAGCCAAAAAAATCAAAAAATAAAAAAGCCAATCCACTTCCCAAACGGAGGCTAACAAATTATATTTTCAACAATAATAAGCGCTCGTTTCGAAACAGATTTTTTGGTAATTTTTTAATTTTTTAGTTAAAATGTGGTGTAAAAAAAAATTAGTATGTTTGAAATGATTTTTTAGCTTTTTACGAAAAGATGTGCAAAAAGTAGAAAGAAAATAAAATCTTTGACTTTTTGATATAAGTTGTTGGCTTTTTAATTTTTTTAGTAACTTTTTGACTTTTTAATTAAAATGGGCACTTGCCAAACGAGGCTTAAGTGTTCGTTTGCACTTTTTTAGTTGGTTTTTTAATTTTTTTGACTTTTTTAGCCTGAGATTTTTTTAGTCGTTTGGTATTCTTGTTTAGCTTTGAAATTGTGTTTTTTTTTTGTCTTTTTACTTATTTTGTCTTTTTGTGATTTTTTGATTTTTTTTTTTGTCATTTTGTGATTTTTTAGTCCAAAATGTTTACCAAAGGACCCATTACATTCAAATTTTTTTAATTTGAATATGTCATTTTAAATATAAAATGACATCATTTTGATATATTCAAATCTTTCGGATCATACACATTCGAATCATATTTTTATTCCTAACTAATCGTATACTCTGTTCCCGTTATCCACTACCATGAAGGCCAGGTTTGGAATTGGGGTAAAGGAAAAAAATTATTAACAATATATCCTTTATGTATTAATAATTATTTTTTCCTTTTTTTTACCTGCATATAATTCTTATTTTAGAATTTTGTCATACACAAATTAATAGGTGTGCCTCATTATCAAAAATAAATGTGGCAAATTATATTTATCTTATTTTCTTGGTGGCCGGGTCAGTAAAATATAATAGAAGTGATATGTAGCTTGAAAAGAGCCTCCCGAGTCGCCTGAATTTGAAAAGAAGAAGAAGGAAGGAAGAAGAAGGAGGAGGACTGCAGGGGCCAACATCAACCGGGCTGGGCAGGGGGTAGAGGCAAAGACGGAGGCGGGGCAGAGACGATCGGTCGATGAGCTGCGACGAGCGACAAGCTGCGACGATCGGCCGACGGCAGAAGCGAAGGGGCCCTCTCTTCTCTCCATTCCCTCTTCCCCTCCTCTTTCTCTTCTTCTCTCTTCTCTCTCTCTTTCTCTTTCTCTCCCTCTGTCTCAGACCTGCATAAAGAAAAAAAAAAAGAAACTATCCAAAACGACGTCGTTTTGAGCAGTCAAGAGATTCAAGAGACAAAATTCAGGAAAAAAATTATTTTTCAAAATATAATTAATTAAACTGCATTGTAAGACGAAAACATAGCTCCCGATCTATAAAATAAAAATAATAAAAAAAAAGAACAGAACATTTTTTATTATAAAAAAAAAAAAAACCAGAACATCTGACCCTTCTTTCTTTAACCTTTAACTTTCTTTAAAAAAAAAATAAATTGTTTGTAAGTAAATATAATTAATTAATTAAACTTCATTATGCGACGAAAACAGAGCATCTGACCCTTCTTTCCTTCGCCCTCTTTCATTTTTACCTTGAGCAGAGCTCCACTACTAATTTTTCCCCACCTTTTTATCTAACTGTTTTCACTAATTTTTTTCCACCTTTTATCTAGTTGTGTTCCTCCCCCCCTCTCTCTCTCTCTCTCTCAAAATGCAGAGCTTGAACCTCCTAATATAATCACATTTGTTTTTTTGTTTATGAGAACAACAATGGGGAGGAACTTTGTCACATCACTTCTCATCTTTGTTGTTTTATTTTCTGGGTTCTCATCAGCTTCAGCCACACCTCCTGCAAGTGAGTAGTACAAGCCTAGCTAGCACATTTTGTATTTCTTTTTTAGTTTTTCATAATCTCACAAACTCTCAATCATTTTCATACATTTGCAGAAATCGTTAGTGGGGTTGTTTCAAATGTTGTCTCTGCTCTCATTAAATGGTTGTGGTCGCTAAAACCCACCCCCAAAACAGGTCTAGATCTTCCCCTGATCTCACATTTCGATGCTTTCTCTGTTTTTGTTTCTTTGACAAGTTTATTTTTATGGGTTTTGGTTTTTATCAGCGATTTCTAGCCGTTCGATGATGAAATTTGAAGGTGGATACACTGTCGAGACGGTCTTCGATGGAAGCAAACTTGGAATTGATCCATACTCTGTTGAAGTGTCTCCATCTGGGGAGCTTCTGGTTTTGGATTCTGAAAACAGTAACATTTACAAGATTTCAACTCCGTTGTCTCGATGTAAGTTAAAAATTTTCTATTTGCGCTGTCTTTTGGTGGGTGATTTGAGAATGGATTTGAAAAGGAAAAGGGAAAAGCTGTCTTTTGGTGGGTGATTTGAGAATGGATTTGAAAAGGAAAAGGGAAAAGTAGTATAAAATTAGGGAAAATGTAGATATATTTTATATCTTTTCCATTTTTTCTTTCCAAATCCTCCCTCAAATCTCCCAACCAAACACAACATTAAGGTTTGAAATTGTGATTTGTTTGGTTTTTGATTTGTTTATTAAACTATACGCAAACATATCCTATTTGACCCAATTTTTGGTGATTTTCTTTAGTTGATAGCTTTTTCTCTTTAAGCTAAGTTCTCTGAGAATGTAAATTTCATTATGATAAACTTTTGGAAATGTCTCTTATGTTTGCTTTTGTTTAGAAGAAGAGTTCACTTTTAAAAGTACATTAGGCCTTTTCACTCTGTTTTGGAGATTTGTGAACTTTCACTTTACTCTCAGACCAAGTTTCTTCATTGACCGACCAAATTTCTCTTTATTCTTCTTTAGATTCAGTTTTGTTTTGTTTTGTTTTGTTTTGCTTTTATTTTATTTATTTTTTTCTTATCCAAAAGATTAAGATTAGGCCTTTGGATATTTTGAAAAACTAGTTTTAGTCTATTCTTGTATTCTTGTATTTGTGAATGTTGGTATGCATGCTTATGCAACAAGGCCAACCCTCTTTTGTTGATCGGCTTGTGAAACCCAATTGTTTTTTATTTTGTGATAATTTTGTGTGTAAATGTTCATTTTGGTATAACCATACTATTGATTTTTAAGTTATATGTGTTGTCCTAGGTTAATTTGAAGAAAGGCTTGCAAGTTAGCTTTATTGGATTTCCGCTGTTGAATTTGATGTATCTCCAAATTGAATCCTTTTTTTTTTCTTTTTTTTCTTTTTCTTTTTCTTTTTTTGAGTTGTGGTGTTGATATCTTTATGAAAATTATTTCCAAACTGCCAATTGTAGTGATTCATTAAGAGATTTGTTTGTTAGTTTGTTTGTTTGTTATTATTATTTTTTTTTGGGTTAGCCTTGGGAAAGAATTTTAACTGAAGCTATCAAGATCTTCTTTTACACACATACAGTTTTTTTTTTTTTTCTTTTCTTTTTCTTCTTTCTTTTTCCCCTCTTTTTTTTTTTAAAAAGATCTGGCGCACAATACTTTGATACCATGAACATTGATAAACTGGGTATAACTTGCTTTTGTTTAGCAGAAGACTCCGCTGTTTTTTAATTAGTCGGTCTTGTTAGTTATGTTTCTGCAGGACCAGTGCCATCTTTATAAAAGTCTCCATCTCTTTTCCCTTTTTTTTTTTTTTTAGTTCAATTTCTCCAGTGAACACGTAACTTCTTTATTCTTCTCTGGATTCATTTCATACTTCTTTTTCTTATTCAACACTCAATGCATTTTTTTTTCCATTCTGTTGGTTTCAAATTTACACGTTCATTAGAATCTTTTGGTTAAACAAATCAAACAAGCAAGATTCTTACAAACAAGCATCATTCGGATGTGTATTATGGCTAATGATTCTCGCTTCTTCTACCCCTATTTTTATTCATTTAAATGAATGGTTGATATCCAGATGGTCGGCCCAAGTTGATTGCTGGATCACCTGAAGGGTACTCTGGGCACGTGGATGGGAAGCCAAGAGAGGCTAGGATGTACCACCCAAAAGGGATTACGGTCGATGACAGAGGAAATATCTACGTCGCAGACACTTTGAATATGGCAATTAGGAAGATCAGTGATGCAGGTAAACTCAGATTTCATTTACACAAACCAAAATTCTATTTTAGTTTCAGAGATTTGGAGGTAAACTTTGTACACTTCACTTTGAAGTTTGAAGTCTGGTATTTTCTGTATGCAGGGGTTGTCACTATTGCAGGAGGGAAGTGGGGCCGAGGAGGAGGTCACGTTGATGGTCCAAGTGAAGATGCAAAGTTCTCAAATGATTTTGATGTGGCTTACATCGGAAGTAGCTGCTCTCTTTTGGTTGTGGATCGAGGAAACCAGGCAATTCGTGAGATCCAACTCCGTGAAGATGATTGTACTTATCAGTACGATGGGAATCTCAACATAGGTAAAAGCTGATTGTCACAAACTCATTACCAATCTCTCTTTTGTTGAGAGCATGAATGATGAGACATTGTTCATGATTGCAGGGATAGCAGTGCTTGTTGCAGCTGCGTTCTTTGGTTACATGCTTGCCTTGCTACAATCATTACACTCTTCTCTCACAAAAAAAATCAAAAAAGCCAAAAAGTCCTTCCCAAACCAAACTTTTTAGCCCAGGCTAAAATAGCCAAAAAAAAAAGCTAAAAAGCCAAAAAGCCAACCCACTTCCCAAACGGAGGCTTTATATCTTTTCCATTTTTCCTTTCCAAATCCTTCCTCAAATCTCCCAACCAAACACAACATTAAGGTTTGAAATTGTGATTTGTTTGGTTTTTGATTTGTTCATTAAACTATACGCAAACATCCTATTTGACCCAATTTTTGGTGATTTTCTTTAGTTGATAGCTTTTTCTCTTTAAGCTAAGTTCTCTGAGAATGTAAATTTCATTATGATAAACTTTTGGAAATGTCTCTTATGTTTGCTTTTGTTTAGAAGAAGAGTTCACTTTTAAAAGTACATTAGGCCTTTTCACTCTGTTTTGGAGATTTGTGAACTTTCACTTTACTCTCAGACCAAGTTTCTTCATTGACCGACCAAATTTCTCTTTATTCTTCTTTAGATTCAGTTTTGTTTTGTTTTGCTTTTATTTTATTTATTTTTTTCTTATCCAAAAGATTAAGATTAGGCCTTTGGATATTTTGAAAAACTAGTTTTAGTCTATTCTTGTATTCTTGTATTTGTGAATGTTGGTATGCATGCTTATGCAACAAGGCCAACCCTCTTTTGTTGATCGGCTTGTGAAACCCAATTGTTTTTTCTTTTGTGATAATTTTGTGTGTAAATGTTCATTTTGGTATAACCATACTATTGATTTTTAAGTTATATGTGTCGTCCTAGGTTAATTTGAAGAAAGGCTTGCAAGTTAGCTTTATTGGATTTCCGCTGTTGAATTTGAAGTATCTCCAAATTGAATCCTTTTTCTTTCTTTTTTTTTTTTTCTTTTTTTTCTTTTTCTTTTTCTTTTTTTGAGTTGTGGTGTTGATATCTTTATGAAAATTATTTCCAAACTGCCAATTGTAGTCATTCATTAAGAGATTTGTTTGTTAGTTTGTTTGTTTGTTTGTTATTATTATTTTTTTTTTGGGTTAGCCTTGGGAAAGAATTTTAACTGAAGCTATCAAGATCTTCTTTTACACACATACAGTTTTTTTTTTTTTTCTTTTCTTTTTCTTCTTTCTTTTTCCCCTCTTTTTTTTTTTAAAAAGATCTGGCGCACAATACTTTGATACCATGAACATTGATAAACTGGGTATAACTTGCTTTTGTTTAGCAGAAGACTCCGCTGTTTTTTAATTAGTCGGTCTTGTTAGTTATGTTTCTGCAGGACCAGTGCCATCTTTATAAAAGTCTCCATCTCTTTTCTTTTCTTTTTTTTTAGACCAATTTCTCCGGTGAACACGTAACTTCTTTATTCTTCTCTGGATTCATTTCATACTTCTTTTTCTTATTCAACACTCAATGCATTTTTTTTTCCATTCTGTTGGTTTCAAATTTACACGTTCATTAGAATCTTTTGGTTAAACAAATCAAACAAGCAAGATTCTTACAAACAAGCATCATTCGGATGTGTATTATGGCTAATGATTCTCGCTTCTTCTACCCCTATTTTTATTCATTTAAATGAATGGTTGATATCCAGATGGTCGGCCCAAGTTGATTGCTGGATCACCTGAAGGGTACTCTGGGCACGTGGATGGGAAGCCAAGAGAGGCTAGGATGTACCACCCAAAAGGGATTACGGTCGATGACAGAGGAAATATCTACGTCGCAGACACTTTGAATATGGCAATTAGGAAGATCAGTGATGCAGGTAAACTCAGATTTCATTTACACAAACCAAAATTCTATTTTAGTTTCAGAGATTTGGAGGTAAACTTTGTACACTTCACTTTGAAGTTTGAAGTCTGGTATTTTCTGTCTGCAGGGGTTGTCACTATTGCAGGAGGGAAGTGGGGCCGAGGAGGAGGTCACGTTGATGGTCCAAGTGAAGATGCAAAGTTCTCAAATGATTTTGATGTGGCTTACATCGGAAGTAGCTGCTCTCTTTTGGTTGTGGATCGAGGAAACCAGGCAATTCGTGAGATCCAACTCCGTGAAGATGATTGTACTTATCAGTACGATGGGAATCTCAACTTAGGTAAAAGCCGATTGTCACAAACTCATTACCAATCTCTCTTTTGTTAAGACCATGAATGATGAGACATTGTTCATGATTGCAGGGATAGCAGTGCTTGTTGCGGCTGTGTTCTTTGGTTACATGCTTGCCTTGCTACAGCGTAGAGTCAGAGCTTTGTTTTCATCCCACAGTGTGAGTAATCCATGCCTTTGTTGGTACTTTGTTTCTTCATGTATTACTGCTTAATGGTTCCGCATATGAAATAAAATTCTCTAGGGATCCAAATTTTACCTGAAATTTCATTAAGACGTTACATATGGAGTAAAAGAAGAGAAAATTATAACTCAAATCATTTATACACATTACATATTTTTCATTGTAGGATTCTGAAACTTCAATCAGAACAGGCATACCACCCGCGCCTCATGAAAGACCTTTTAAACCTGTCAGGCCGCCCTTAATTCCAGCTGAAGATGAATCGGAGAAGGCAGAAGAGGGTTTGTTTGGTTCATTGGGTAGACTTTTCCTCAACACCGGCTCATCTGTGGTTGAAATATTCACGAGCTTATTTTCAGGTAGGAAGAAGCCACTCCACCACAGTCCTATCCAGCAGCAATATTACCAGCAACCGATCAAGCATTCAAATACTTGGCCAATGCAAGAGAGCTATGTGATTCCACGTGAAGATGAGCCTCCAGCACTAGATACCCGAACCCCAACACCCAGAAATGCCTACCCGTATATGACAAAGGACACTGAAAAGAACCACCAATTCAAGCAAAGTCAGGCATTTAACAGTGGGTGGAATGGCGGTCGTCTCCACCACCAACAGCAGCAGCACATGCAGCAGCAACAGCATCATCAGAGGCATTACTCATCCGGTCCTCAAACTTATTACGAGCAAAGTTGTGAGACAAATGAGATTGTGTTTGGTGCAGTTCAGGAACAGGATGGTCGTCGGGAAGCTGTTGTGATAAAGGCAATGGACTATGGAGATCCCAAGTATAATAACCATAATATTCGGTCTCGATATAACTATATGGGTTACTCCTATGGCTATTGATCATATGTATCTCTTCGTATCATGAAATACACGAAGTACACGTGAGATATGAAGATGACAATGTAGAAGATCAATGTAGTGAATTTTGGGGGAAAAAATTCAAATTTGTTTGGGAGATGTGTTAGTTGTCCAAAGCTTTTGCTCACTGAGTTTATGTACAAGAAAGTAGAAATCACAATGAAGAGGATCAATATCTTTTTCTAACTATAAATCAAAAGAATAAAATTAATGGTAAGTTGATAGCTCTTTTGAATATAATTTTGGTCTGTAAAGTGGAAAAACACGGCTAGCAGTGGAGTAATAGCAGTGAAGTTTGAATTTTGTTACTTAGCCACACTACCTATTGAAAAGATAACAGGAAACAGGCTAATAGAAGAGTTTTTTTTTTTTTTTTTTTTTTTTTTTTTTTAATTACTTACCACAATTTAACTTGTCATTCTATGTTGGGTAGAAGTGATTTTAAATTTTATTTGCCAGTCAAAGTCACATTAATTTGTTCTCCAAATTATGCAAATAAAAAAATTAACCAACTGCTATCAAATCATTACCTGAAAAACCAAAAAAACAAAAATCACACTTCTCAGTCAAAATTGTCTCTCAGTTGATCTCATCCATCCTAATAACATACCAAAAAAAGGGGCATCTGTCTTATCCACTCATCTATAAAGATATATATATATAGTTGTGAACAATTAACGTCAACCTACATAAAAGCTTTGGCATGCTATAGAAGAGAGGACCACTGGATCTTCATGCTGAAAAATGGTCCTGGTATTGTTCAGTGGCACGACTGCCGAGGAGGGCAGTGGTAGAGCTTCCAACACTAGAACAGTATCAATGGCATATGACATTATTATTGAGACAGGGACCAACCAGTAGTAGAAAAACAAAAGAAGAAGAACAAGAAGAAGAAGAAGCACCACTGCCATTCCCTCACTGTTTGGGTCAAAATGCGGCAGACTTTTTCACTTTTCCCTATGGCATTACACCGAATTGGGATCCTCCCCTTCATTTCGGTCCTTCATTTCCTCCTTGCAGGGCCTTCGGGCCCACTTTAAGGCCCAATTTTGATAATCCGAACTGTTCGTATTTTTAGATTTATTCAGTATATCATACCTGTAAAAAATCAAGTTGATCAAATATCATAAAGTATGTGTTCGGAAAACTATTTATTAAAAAATAGTTTGTAGTCCCAATTTTCTGAACGCATACTTTCTGATACCCGATCAACTTGATTTTTTACAAGTATAATATACTGAATAAATCTAAAAATATGAACGGTTCGGATTATCAAAACTGGGCCTCAAAGTGGACCCGAAGGCCCCTGCAAGGAGGGGATCTGGAAACTGCCTCATTTATATATATATTTTTTTTAACTAAAAACATGCTGTAATTTTATATTGTAATTTCTTAGAGCATCTCCAATGTACTAGGCATATAATACTTGTTAGTTAAAATGCCTAGTGTGATTCACTTTTTTCAATTCCAATGCACTAGGTATATGATTAGGCATTTTGCCTCAACTCATATTCACTAGCTACATGTAGCTAGCCTTCAACGCTAGGCAAAATGTATTCAATCTAAAAATATGAACGGTTCGGATTATCAAAACTGGGCCTCAAAGTGGACCCGAAGGCCCCTGCAAGGAGGGGATCTGGAAACTGCCTCATTTATATATATATTTTTTTTTACTAAAAACATGCTGTAATTTTATATTGTAATTTCTTAGCAGTTAGATGAAAACTGACCCTCAGACAGACCAGGATTTGCCTAGGTGGCATTCTGAGTCCATACATCTCCAGAATTTCTACAAATAATTTGATATATTGGATTTAAATTTGGGCCTGGACAGGACTAATGAGGCCTTTTCACTTGACTTGAGCCCAATTTTGCTGAACTGGAAAAGAGACCCAAATTTCAATAGAACTATATCAAAATCAAACTGGACATTCAATCTGTAAAAAAGTCCAACAATATATAACACAAGCATATGGCAAGTTCAATAATCACAACGCCATATGAGAGATTTGAATTCAAAAATATTATTATCATTGAACCATGGAAGATCTACAATTTCAATAAATACAAGTGAAAATATACTATTGAATCAAAGGAATAAACAAAAGAATTGAATAGATTTGGCTATTTTTATGCTTTGCATGAAATCATAAATTCCTGTAGGACTATCTGAACTCCCTAACCAGACCCAATTTTAATGCACCCATGTCTTCTAACGTATTACATATTTATAATGAAATAATCACAAAAGATGATAGAAAAAGCTTTGGAAATGGAACGGAATCAATTATGCAAGTCATTGACAAAGGAATGTCCCTCCCCGGGACTCGGACCCGAATTCTTGATCCCGCGGAGAGCAAGAACTTGATCATATTGATCATGATTACGATGACGATGATGATGATGATCATTCTTGACATGGCAGGGATGCTTTGGGACGTCGATGGGGCGGGCATGAATGGAGGAGGTAAAGAAGATGGTGAAGCATAGAGAAAGGAGGAGGAGAAAAAGAAGATGGTTGGGCTGTTTGGCCATTGAATGTAGGAGTTTGTATTGCTGAGAGATGTATATGAAGTATGAGTTATGAATATAATAATTAGTGCTTTTTGGGTTATGTATTTATAGTGTAAAAAGCTTGCTTGATTAGGTATAATGTAGTTTAAGTGCCCAGTCCAAACACGTCTCAGAACTGTGTATGGTATGCTAGTAGGAAGCATGGTAGGAAATTCATGGAGAGAAAGAGAGAGATTGAATTAGGATTGGTGTGGAAACTTGGGGGCCAAATAAGTAGAACAATTTTGAAGAGAGCTGATATGGGAATGAATGACTAGTTTAAGTTGGAATTGTGAGTGCCAGTCCACGTTGTTTTTTTGAACCGATTATTTTTCTCTTCCTTTGATTCATTTTCGTCGCCTTCCACCTACTTTTTTACAACCGGTTGGGTTTTGAACTTGAACTAAACGGGTCAATAGAGTGTACCACGAGTTCCATTTTAATATTTTGAATTATTCATTTATACAGCTCTCAGTATATATTATTCATAGAAAAAATTAGATTGATCTTATAATCATAATATTTTTTATTTTATTACATATGATTTCAAAAAATAGATGACAAGTATGTTTTTAAAATAGATCATTTATTTTTTTTATGACAAATATGATAAAATAAAAACGTTACAATTATCAAAATTATTTAATTTTTTTCATATATAATATATATTGATAATAATACAAAATAAATAGTTCAAAAATAATTGAAATAGGCTTTTTTCGATCCCACGGGCCTCTCAAATTTTCTCTAACTGGAGAGAAGTTAGCTTCCAGAGAAAGAGCAACGAGCTTACTTATCCTATATGTAAATTTCAGGATATATATATTGAATTCATTGCATTTTTGAATGCTTTTAATAAATCTGCTTTATTTATTAGTTTTGATTTGCTGTTTTATTTATATTATTGGTATGATGCAAAATTGAGTTGGATGAAAACTGTGTCGATTATACTATGTAACCAAAATGATATTAGAAAATTCTCCTGAAATTAAATTCAAATTCCAAGATAAAAAATAAAAATAAAAATAAAAATGACATTGGCTAACTACCTCGCTTTTGTTGGTCATTAATAACTCACGACTCGAGTTTGAAATTCAACCTTGGAGGTGGTAGGCAGAAACCAAACCTTGTGTTCCAATTTATTCAACATTTACATGCGAATAAAATATAATAGTATATGATTGGATTGATTTAAAATAATAAAATTAATAATTTTTTGAGTAAAGGGTTTAATTGTTCACATATATTTTATCAGCAGTGACGCCACATGTTTAGAAAAAATAAATTGTCCACAATTCAAATTGTACGGATGATATTTATTAAATGAGGGCAAATTACATATATCTCTCTCGAGATTTAGCTAAATTACAGATACTCTTGAGATTTCGAAAATTACAAATACCCCCCTGAGGTTTATATTTTCATAACAAATTGCCCCATGAAGTTTATATTTTCATAACAATTTGTCCCCTAATTTGTTATGCAAATAGTACCTTCAGGGGGTATCTGTAATTTCTCAAATCTTAAGAGAGTATCTGTAATTTTGCTAAATCTCGAGGGGTATATGTAATTTGCCCTTATAGGTATTACAACACAAAAAGTCTTCATTTACACCATATATTTATTTTTTAGATTATTTTGATGGTAAAAACTTTAGAACCATAGCATTAGTGTTTTATAGTGTGGGAAGATAATTCTATTTGCAAGTCTCTCGCTATCATCAATGTGAGAGAGTTGTGTTTCTTCAGTGATTGATTTTTATGTTTTTATATATTTTTTAATTATCTTTTTTATATTTGCTTGTGGTGACTAATATCTTACAAGTCATCTGGTTAACCAACCAAGCCCTTCTTTAGCATGTGAAATTTTGGAATTAAAAGGGTAAAATAGTTTTTAAAAAAAAAGATAAAATAGGCTAAAAAAATAATAAGATAAAATGTCACATTCAAATCATAATTATTTTATTTTTTCTCTCACAAAAATAAAAAAATTCATTCCAAACGAGACTTTTTAACTTTGGGCTAAAAAAGTTAAAAAACTTAAAAAACCAACCTACATTCCAAACAAAACTCAAGACGTATCTCTATATTTTACTTGTTAGACAAGTCAAGCCTTAGATAAATAGTACTTAAAAAAAAATTATTTTTATATTTTTGGACTAAAATTGTAAGATGTCAGTTTTATTAGTAAAATTATATTATAATTAAAAGGATCACCGTTACTCCATTAACTCAAATTCTTAATCTTCTTCTCACCACATCCTAAGGTGTGGTGATCACCAGGCTAAGCTCGAGATCTAAAAAAAAGATAGTAATGTAGATAGAAAAATATGTAAAATTTATCTATAGAATAATATTATGCTAACAAAATTTATTATTTTTAAATAAAATGTCTATTTAATTATGAAAATACTATGTGGCCATATTATTTCAAATATAATTTTTTTGAATAAATAACAATTTTGCAAACTTAAAATATTAATAATAGGGGAAATTCTAACATATTCACCCTTAAAAATAGTGTATTATATGTATTCTTAATTATGTCATTTTTTTTTCTGTAGTTATGATATTATTTTAGTTATAACATAAGTTTTTTAGTTAGGACTCATATTGTGTTTCGTTATGATATTTTTTATTTTTATAACTTAAAAAATATAAAATT